GCCCAGGCCAATTTTCAGCTTTCAGCACAGTTGCACTTTGAATGACAATTGCGCAATCATGCAACACTATACCCATATTAAATTTTTATCATTTTGTTTTCACACAAACAGAGCTTTCTTTTGGTAGTATTTAATTGCCACTGGGGTTTTTATTTTTTGCACTATAAACAAAAAAAAAGGAAAACTTTTTTTAAAAAAGTTTTTATTTATTTCTATTATAAAAATTTGCAAACAGGTAATTTTTCTCCTTCACTGATGTGTGTTGATGAGAATGCACTGATAGGCAGCACTAATGGGCACTGATGAGGCAGCACTGATGGGCACTGATGAGGCACTGATGAGGCAGCACTGATGGGCACTGATGAGGCAGAACTGATGGGCACTGATGAGACAGCACTGATGGGCACTGATGAGGCAGCACTGATGAGGTGGACATTGTTGAGGTGGCACTGGTGGGCATTGATGAGGCACTGATGATGCTGTACTGATAAGCAGCAATGATGGGCACTAATAGGCTGCACTGATGGGCACTGATGAGGCAGCACTGATAGGCACTGATAGGCTTCACTGATGAGGTGGCACTGATGAGGCGCCACTTGTGGGCATTGATGAGGAGGCCCTGATGATGCTGTACTGATAAGCAGCAATGATGGGCACTGATAGGTGGCACTTATGGGCACTGATAGGCAGCACTGACGTGTGGCACTGATGGACAGCACTGATAATCAGTGCCCTGATTATCAGTGCAGAACTGCTCTGTGACATTTGCCGGTTATCGGCAGCTCTTTCCTCACGTTGTGACAGTATCAGGAAAGTGCTGCCGATAACTGGCAACTGTATGTACTTTGTGATCAGCTGTGTCATTGGACACAGCGATTACTGACAGCGCCGGGTCTGTGCTGCTGGGGGCAGGGGTGGACTGACAACTCATGGGGCCCCTGGGCAATAGGGGATCATGGGGCCCCTGTGTCCTTACCCAAACAAAAAAGCCTATGAAAAAGGTACCAGGGGCATCTCATGGGGCCCCCTACTGACCCCGGGCCCTCGGGCAGTGCCCGAGTTTCCAAATGGTCAGTCCGCCCCTGGCTGGGGGCGTGTTCTGGGAGGACATCAAATGACCCAGAAATGGACAAAGTAAAGTGTAAAGTGGTTAATTGAACAAGCTGAAGTTAGAAGCTGATTGCACAGTTGCACCAGATTCTGAGTTCTCCAGTTTTAAAAAATCTACCTCATTTTTTTCTAGATATAGTATGGCATTAGAAGATCTTGATGCAGGAAATGTTTGGCTTGATATTATTGGTACCTATGCTTTAGGCACATGGAAAGGAGTAAGTCAGCTGTAGCAACTAACATCATACGAGGCGATATCAAACAGTTTCAAGACTATTTTTGTAACACGTCAACAGATGGCAGCACAAGGCTGCACGCATAGTCACAGGGAGCACTGACTTTCATAAGGCAGTGTGCCAAAAGACGTCCTGTATACTTCGCAAGCTGTGCAACTGGTGTTATTCTGACTTTGTGCGTTACCACGTCTGCTGTTTCATCATGGTTAGCAAATTAGAATAAAGAGCAAATGTAAAATTCTGCGTGAAACTGGGCCTGATCGCTGGATCTCCACAATGTTGTCAAAACAGCGACCTTTGAGCTGGATTTTCATCTTCGGGAAGAGGGAATTTTCAAGGGTTGAGCTTGTTGAAGTTCTTCCTTATCTCTCGTCGTCTTCCAACGATGTTCTTCCGCTCTTGAAGCACACATGCCACTCAAAACATCTCGAATGACCGCAAACATGTCTCTGTGGTAGATTTGCCCAGTTTCACGCAAAATTTCATGTTTGCTCTTTGTTCTAACTTACATGATGAAATAGCAGATGTAGTAATGCACGTGGTCAGAATAGCACCAGTTGCACAGCTCCCGATGTACACAGGACGATGTCCTTTGGCACACTGATTTATTTAGGTCGGTGCTCCCTGTGACTGTGCATGCAGCCTTGTGCTGCCATCTATTGGCATGTTACAAAACTAGTCTTGAATCTTTTTGATACAAAAAAGGGGGTCCAAATGAGGACAAACTGCAGCCTTGAAAACCAAATAATAAACAAAAATAATTTAATTTGCAGTAAAATAGTACAAATATCACAAAGACATATATGGCATGATAAGCCAAAATATACAAAAAGTTACACAAAAAGTTACCTCACCACCACCACCATGCATGTCTAGTGTTGTCCAGGTTGATCTTGCCGTTCTGCTTTTGACTTCCTTTCCCCCTGGGTGGTGGTGAGGTAATTTTTTGTGTAACTTTTTGTATATTTTGGCTTATCATGCCATATATGTCTTTGTGATATTTGTACTTTTTTAGTGCAAATTAAATTATTTTTGTTTATTATTTGGTATTCAAGGCTGCAGTTTATCCTCATTTGGACCCCCTTTTTGGCCTTGGTCCTTTACCCTCTGGTCTTTTTTCTTTATTTTCCCATTTATGATTAGGGTCCCGAGGATACCACATATATATATCTATGTGAGTCAGCATTATTCATAATTGGGTCACTGTCTTTATTCGGTAATTTCTGACCCTGAGCTTTGGGAATCCTGGTGTGTTTTATTTTTTTATTTGATCTTTTTGATACCACCTCGTAAGTCAAATTTATCACCAGTACACCATAGACCTTTAAGATAACGTTCAAAGCTTATTAAAGTGATCACATCACAGCAGTAAAGGTGCAGCATTGTCAGGGCCATGCAGGACCCCTTTTCGGGTCCTGCATGGTCCCAAAATGTTGCACCAATACCACTGTGATGTGATCACTTTAATAAACCTTGGTATGTTATCTCGAAGATCTATGGTGTGCTGGTGATACATGCTTTGATTTGTAACCCTCATTATGGCGTATGTTAAAGTGCATTGCATTAAAGCAGGTCATTCATATGAATGGGCTGTCTAGTGCATGGCAATGCATCTAAAAAGTGACCATCTGCTGTGCAAGGCTGCAATGTATGTGCATTGAGAAGGTACATTAGAGTTGCCATTCAAAATGAATACCACCATATTTTACAAGCATGACAGGCATTGCTGCAGTACACCGGGAACACAGACTTAAGGTTAAGAGTTCTTTACATTTAAAATAACTCTGTTGTTTCCCAAAAGGTCTTTCAAAAACAGAAGACCAGTGCGATGCCCAGGCACCTGCATTGTTTATATCCCAGCCACAGGTGAAGGGGAGGCTCTGATGTGCATTAAGTGCTTTTGATGTGAAAAGGAACTCTGATATGAAAACTCTCATGTAAAGTGGAGGCTCTGATGTGAAAGGTAGGACTCTGATGTGAAGTGGGGGGCTCTGATCTAAAAGGGAAGACTCTTATTTGAAGTGTGGGATCTGCTGTGAAGGGGAGGACTCTGATGTGTAAAGGGTGCTTCTGATGCAAAAGGGAGGACTCTGATGTGAAGGGGGGGCTCTGCTGTGTAAAGGGTGCTTCTGATGTGAAAGGGAGGACTCTGATTAAAAGTGGGGGGCTCTGATGTGAAGGGGAGCCTCTGATGTGTAAAGGGTGCTTCTGATGTGAAAGGGAGGACTGTGATAAGAAGTGGGGGCTCTGATGTGAAGGGGAGCCTCTGATGTGTAAAGGGTGTTTCTGGTGTGAAAAGGAGGACTCTGATGAAGAGTAGGGGCTCTGATGTGAAGGGGGGGCTCTGTTGTGTAAAGGGTGCTTCTGATGTGAAAGGGAGGAGTCTGATGAAAAGTGGAGGCTCTAATATAAAGGGAGCCTCTGATGTGTACAGGGTGCTTTTGATGTGAAAGGGAGGACTCTGAAAAGAAGTGGGGGCTCTGATGTGAAGGGGAGCCTCTGATGTGTAAAGGGTGCTTCTGGTGTGAAAAGGAGGACTCTGATGAGGAGTAGGGGCTCTGATGTGAAGGGGGGGGGGCTTGGATGTGAAAGGGAGGACTCTGATGTGGTGGGGGCTTGGATATGAAAGGGAGGACACTGATGTGAAGTGGGGGGCTCTAATGTGAAACTAAAAGTAAATGTTTTTTTAATTAAAATAAACATGTTATACTGACCTGCTCTGTGTAATGGTTTTGCACAGAGCGGCCCCGAGCCATCTCTGTTGTGGTCCCTAATTGGCGATCTTGGCTCCTCCTCTTCTCCACACAGTGCGTGCTCACTCCCGAGCTGCGTGTGTCTATGGAGCCACACTCCATCCATGATTTCAAAACGCTTTACTAAAATGGTAAAATGCACAATGCAGATTTTAGATGGTATTCATGTGAATGGCACCTAAAAACGTGGTGCGGTTCTGCAGCGATTGTTGCACAATAAATTGCGCTGCAATTATGGCAAACCTCAACACACAAAGCTTGTCACCCAAAAAAAAGAAGGCGCTTCCTTTGGATGACAAGCTTCGCGTGTTGAGGTTTGCCGTAATTGCAGCGCAATTTATTGTGCAACAATCGCTGCAGAACCGCACCACGTTTTTAGGTGCCATTCAAATGAATGGCATCTTAAATCCGCATTGTGCGTTTCGCCATTTAAGTAGTGCGTTTTTAAGTCATGGGCAGAATCGCGGTGATTCTGCCCACAATCCAAAAGGTCTAGGTGTGAATGAAGCTTAAAGTGTTCCTAAACCCCGGACCCTGCATTCCCTATATCTGGTCTCCCCGGACCCTGCATTCACTATATCTGGTCTCCCCGGACCCTGCATTCCCTATATCTGGTCTCCCCGGACCCTGCATTCACTATATCTGGTCTCCCCGGACCCTGCATCCCTATATCTGGTCTCCCCGGACCCTGCATTCACTATATCTGGTCTCCCCGGGACCCTGCATTCACTATATCTGGTCTCCCCGGACCCTGCATTCACTGTATCTGGTCTCCCTGGACCCTGCATTCACTATATCTGGTCTCCCCGGACCCTGCATTCACTATATCTGGTCTCCCCGGACCCTGCATTCACTATATCTGGTCTCCCCGGACCCTGCATTCACTATATATCTGGTCTCCCCGGACCCTGCATTCACTATATATCTGGTCTCCCCGGACCCTGCATTCACTATATCCGGTCTCCCCCGGACCCTGCATACACTATATCTGGTCTCCCCGGACCCTGCATTCACTATATATCTGGTCTCCCCGGACCCTGCATTCACTATATATCTGGTCTCCCCGGACCCTGCATTCACTATATCCGGTCTCCCCGGACCCTGCATACACTATATATCTGGTCTCCCCGGACCCTGCATTCACTATATATCTGGTCTCCCCGGACCCTGCATTCACTATATATCTGGTCTCCCTGGACCCTGCATTCACTATATCTGGTCTCCCCGGACCCTGCATTCACTATATCTGGTCTCCCCGGACCCTGCATTCACTATATATCTGGTCTCCCCGGACCCTGCATTCACTATATATCTGGTCTCCCCGGACCCTGCATTCACTATATCCGGTCTCCCCGGACCCTGCATACACTATATCTGGTCTCCCCGGACCCTGCATTCACTATATATCTGGTCTCCCCGGACCCTGCATTCACTATATCCGGTCTCCCCGGACCCTGCATACACTATATCTGGTCTCCCCGAACCCTGCATTCACTATATCTGGTCTTCCACAGTACACACAACATGGAAATGCAATTATTTTAGTAAATATAGATTGCTAAATTCTTTTTCTCATCAGCAGTATATAGCAGTCTTGTGACTTCTACCAGTGTCCAGCCAAGGATTGGTTAATCTTGTAGGAGGAGTTTTCATTCTCCTTTGACAGTCCTATGAGTCTGCATAACCCCTGACCCTCTGTCTGGACAGTGGTGATTGGCCCGTTGCCAATCACATGCACACTCCAAAAAAAAAAAACCTCTCTAGCAATACACATACCAAATTGAGCATGTGTAGACTTGCCACTGCTGCTCTAATTATGAGAGATGAACTGGGGACAGCAAAAGAAGGGGAGGATCAGAGAAGTCAGCATCAAACAGCCTTTTTACACAATGCAGAGGATTAACCCCTTAGGTTCCACAGTGAATATACCAAGAATGATGTACTGAATATACCGACTGATTTTACTGTGGTAAGTTAAGTAACACTTTAATGTAGGGAATGCATTAAGGTAAAAAAAACCTTTTGGCTTTAGAACCACTTGAAAGCAAGGCTCTGATATGTGAGGAGTACCTCTAATATGAATGGGGGACTCTGATGTGTAGGGGGGTTCTCTTCTGAAACAGGGCTGTAATGTGAAGGGTGGTTTCTGATGTGAAAGGGGGACTTTTGCTGAGATGGAGGCTTCCTTTGATTGTGTTTATTCATTAAGTTTTAATTTGATTCATTCATTTGTAAAACTGATATTTTCAGCCCTCAGATATTTGTAACATACTGTATATAATGTGGTCCTTATGGACAGAAACGTTTGGAAAACACTATTGCTCTCCTGGCTCTCTCTATCTTTTTATTCTTTTCTTCTGTCTTTAGTTCTTTGCTCTGTTCTTTATTCTATACCAAATTGTTATTCAAAAAATCACCAGGCTTCTCTGAAATTTGTATATTTGAAGCTTCTTGGGCTTTCTTAACCCAAAAAAAATATGTTTTTTTATTTTCTGCTTCACACATTTTTTTTAATGAAGTAAATCTTTTAATTCCTGATCCAAGTGGAATGAAATCCCCATCTGGGTGGTTGATAGGAGATTAATGACATCATACCCCAGTGCACAAATGATAAACAAACCTTAGGGACACAGCTAATGAGCACATTATGAGCTTCTTAAAATGAGACTAATGTCTTCTAATTGTCAATGAGTTCTGCTGGATTAAGCCTTTTCCTCTACACAAGTGCTTATGCAAAATGAATCACTGCCTGACCCACTTCTGAGCCCCGAAAAACACGGGTATCTCAAATCATTTATTAGGTCTTCTTTACTCAGATGTTAAAACTATGTCCTGAATTATGGAGGCATCAGCGCCTCTCCATTGGTTGTCAGGCCAGAAGAGTTTATTGAGCCATCGGCCAATAAACTCTTCTCAATGTCCAGCCTGATTCCTTTTTCAAGAACTTTGGGTGGAATTCATTTTTCAATACATTTCCATTGTGGGCTTGTCTTGCTTATTAGAAAAATGACTAGAAACCAAAGGGCATTGTAGAAATGCAAATGAGTACCCATATATATACCAAGCAGGCATAACATTAGGATCACCCACCTAATATTGAGTAGTTCCCCCTTTTGCCACCAAAGCAGCCTTGACCCATCATGGCATGGACCACCCATCACTAGACACCATCCACTAGACAAAGCATCCCTCTGCCTCCGCTGGCTTGCCTTCTTCCCATACTGCATCTTGGTGCCATCTCTTCCCCAAGTAAGCAATGCACATACACACGGACAGCCACAAGAAAGTGTGATTAACCTCCCTAGCGGTCTGATTATGTCCATATTTCTGTGCTCAAAGCGGTACATTTTTTTGCATGGAAATATATAGTTTTTTTATTGTAGGCCTGTAATTTTTAGGAATAACTCACTGAAATCTGTCCGAACAAGAGTCTAGTAAACATCCCGTGTATGATAAAACTTGAAACACTAAATCTTAAATTATAATTTAATAAATAATCATAAAAAAAATAATATAATAATAATAAATTTAATTCAATAATATAATCAAACCAAAAACACTGAAATTTGAAATATAGCGCCAAGTTTGCACATCACTGAGCAAAGTCGCAAAATCGTTTTCAGTGTGTGATGACGAATTTCCCCACAAATCATTATCACTCAATCCTGCAAGTGGTTCTGATTTACTATCGCTGTTCTCTAGCTGGTCTAAAACTGCTTTTGACCTAAAGGGACGCTTTTTGGACGCCATGGACGTTTCTCAGTTTCCAGGCTGAAAGAACATTCAAAATGCAGGCAGGGCACAGGACAAAGCACTCGGGACAAAATGTATGTGAAATGGTGTGATACAGTAATGTTTTACTATGTGATTTTAGTGTATTGAGTGAATGTCACTTTTGGTCATTTTCAAATTTCCCGCCGTTCCGTCCCCAGTACGTCCCGACGCTTGCAGGGGACGGAACCTAGATGACAGATGCCGGCATCCGCCGGATTACATTGCCGGGGACACTGCAGGAGGGACATCGCTGGGAGCGCAGGACAAGGTAAGAGAAGAACAGATGCCGGAGCAGCGCTGCATGGTAAGCCCGAGTGTAGTTCGGGGTTACCGCTCTTGGTACTGAAACTTTACCCCGAGCTACACTCGGGAATACCGCCAGGGAGGTTAATCAGAAAAGGCCACTTTCTTCCAATGCTCTGTGGTCAAGTTCTGATGCTCACCTGCCCATTGTAGGTGCTTTTGGCTGTGGACATGGGTCACCATGGGCACCCTGACTGATCGGCGGCTACATAGCCCCATACACAGCAAACTGTGATGCTCTGTGTGTTTTGACACCTTTCTATCACAACCAGCATTAACTTTTTCAGAAATCTGAAGCTACAACAACTTTTCATCCAGATCGGACTACACAGGCCAGCCATCGCTCCCCACATGCCTCAATGAGCCTTGGTTGTCCATGACCCTGTCACTGGTTTCCTTCCTTAGATCACTGCAGACCAGGAACATTTCCACAAGAGCTGCAGTGTTGGAGTTGCTCTGGTCCAGTCGTCAAGCCATTACAATTTGGCCCTTGTCAAAGTCCCTCAAATCCTTACGCTTACCCATTTTTTCTGCTTTCATACACAACTTCAAGGACAACATGTTCCCTTGCTGTCTAATATATCTACCCCACTTTCAGGTGCCATTTTAACAAGATAATCAATATTACTCACTTTACCTGTCAGCAGTCATAATGTGATGGTTGATTAGTGCAGAATATCCTCACATCGTCTATAAAAACATTCAAATGTTCCTTTTGGCCTTTGTGATGTGCAAATCACAGTAACTCATTGTTAAACCTTTTATGACCAGAGGTCTTCAAAGCTTAGCTATTTAGACAAAATTTTGAAGCAACAATATACTGTACATCATTTCATTGATTGGCTAGATCCACGTGACTAATTTGCCAGTTCAACAGCTGAGAACCAGGAGCGTGTACAGGTGAGCATTCCCAGTTAGTTGCTGTAATAAATGTGGTTTATACACCAATTAAAACTACAATACGAGATACCAAATATTGCAAAGCATGAATAAAGAGAAGTAGTAGAACCCCATCCCAATTGTCCCTTGTCTTTGGGAGCTCAAGAGCAGTCCCTGTAGCCACCCCCCAGTTCCTTATAAATTGTATAAGTCTAATAAGTCCTTATAATATAAGTCTAGTATTGCATCTCTCCAGAAAATAACAAGCATTTAACATCTCCTCATTGGTTACGGTTTATTCCTATTCTAGAACTATTAGAAATACTAACAAAGGTCACATAGTCCAAGTGACAATCTTATATTCTATGGCTTGCTATCAATGTTTTCCTGTAGTCTTCACCTTTTTATTGTCTTATGAAAAGATCTTGTTGAAATATCAATAAATCTACAACAGGGTTCTTATGCTGTACACCTCATATTGAAGTTTGGTATCCTTCATGGACTCATGAAAAGCTGGTCTCACCAAATCTAGCTGTAAGGGAATCCTGGTGAGACGATTGGCGAATAGAAGTGCGCATGCGCACAGAAATGCGCAATCGCGCATGCGCCCGTGCATGCGCACGGTGAAGATTGGCGCCAGACGGACTATTCAAAAGGTGCCTCTGCCTATGCTGAGTGCTGACTGGTCTTCAGCTGTTCCCCGTTTCCTGCTCGTTCCTGTGTGATTTCCTTGTTGCTGACCCAGCTTGTTCCTGACCTTACTCTTGATTACTCTCCTGCTTGATACTTGTTCCTGACTTCGGTTCTGCTCCTGACTTTGGCTTGCTTATGATTTGGTACCTCGCTGTTCACCCGTTGATGACTCCGGCTATTCCTATGACATTGCTCCTGTCTCCCATCCCAGCTTCCTGCCTTGCTCTGGTGCACACCTGGCGACCTACCATACCAGCTCTGCATATCACTAATGTTCCTGAATCGAAGGTTCATCAGTCTTCCAAAGTCTCCAGCTGCAAGAGCTGCAAACAACACCTGCTGGTGCTCTTGTCCCCCTGGTCCCTAGACACCCTCTGTTCCACTTCCAGTGGGGTCAGGGCTAGTGACACAAGTGAGGCCGACCTCGTCATTTCAGTCTCCAATCAGGTACGTGACACTAGCTATTGGATAATAATAATAACCCAAGCATGGACCATTCCCTACCTTTGTTTATGTAACATCCAGTACCAGGCTGAGGTCAAAAACAATCCATCCTTTCGCCTCCCGAGAGACCTCCTCTCATTTTCTGCACATCTACTGTGGGTATAGGATTATAAAAAAAAATTTTAATGGTTGAACTGGATGGACTTTTGTCTTTTTTCATCCAGACTAACTATGTAACCTAGATGAGAATGATGTTCCCCAGCTACCCACAGCCTCCTGATATCCTCATGTCATGATTCTCAGGAGACCTCAGGGTCATCTGCAGTACATCATCAAGGGACCATCTGTCTCTTGTTGTTTCTTGCAGTGTTGTTAAAATCGTGTCCCCAGGGACCCAGCTGAAAAAAACAGCTGAAGTTTATACTAGTTATGGCAGCGATCAGCAACTTATAGCGAGACTGCTGGACTGCGGCGGGT